ACATTAAATTTGATTCTGCTGATACAAGCACTTATCATCAGATGATTTTAAAACTTATTCACTAATTCAGACTTTTAGTGGGATTCAAACCCACGATCTTTGTTTACTTGCTGGTAATCATAATCCACCAAAGAGTACAATTTTCAAGTCGTAGGATTCCAAATGATGCACTGAATATCTGTTTGATGATAGCTGGCAGAAAATGATTGGATGTCAGCAGTCAATTCCAAGGCCTTTTAAAGGAAATGGAGTCTGCAATCGCTTTTCCAACAGCTCAACAAAGCCAGCAAATTGATATTACTTACTTGGTTTTTTTAAAGAAGTATTCCATTTAGGTCAGAGAAATCCAGCCGTGTTCCGGCAGTCTTGAACGCCATCAGCAGTGATCTGCAACCAGTAAGTACCAGTATGAATATAGGAAAGTCTTCGTTTTCGAGAGGAAACTTTCTAATCCAAAGGGTGCGCAGTTTTAATCAAGGAAAGAGCTTTAAAGTCATTTGTGCTCGTGCTGCACCAAGAATCGTAAATTTATATACAGTTTCAGTGGCTTCTTTTCAAGTGGGATTCCAACCCGTGAACATTGCTTCATTAGTAAGCAAACTAATATGAAATATAACTGGTATTCAAACGCCAGGACGTCTCAGCCTCGTCCCCAGGGCGAGCGCGCGTGAAAGAAGCTGTGTAGTTTGAAGTTGATTTTCAATTGTCACAATACAACGTTATCTTTGATAATCTGTTTTAAAAGCTTTTTATTTAGGTTTGTGCAATTCCAGTGCTTATCTCCAACACGCAGACGGTCCTTACGTAACGTTAACCGGCTCAGTGACGTAGTGGCATTAACACGTGACCCTTCCTACAAGATCCAAGGTATGTATCCTAACGCTAACTTAAAAACTTTCACCCAGAATATTCTAAAACGACCGAAGAAGCCTTTGATCTTTATTTTAAGCCATGACCTTGATTCCAATGATCATCCTACTGAGGCGTACAAAGATGACTTTCGTGTTACGTTTTGATGAATTGCAAATTCAAGAAGTCAAGTGCGAAAGGGCGGTAAGGGTACTATCTAGACCGAAACATACAAGCAAGAGCGACGTCCAGGGATTAAAAGGGATTAATATCAGCATTCACTTGTAAAAATCAAGGGGAAATTTTCATGTTGCTTGAATTCTAAACCATGTTTTTTAAAAAACCTTATATTCAGGTCAGAAAATTCCCTGATGACAGCAAACAGATGGTGTAACCCGGAAGTCTTGCCTCGCAGACCAAAGGTAAGTCATGAAAATTACGAACACATTAAAAAACTGACCAGGAAAGAAATCGGTAACAACAACAACAAAACATAGCCCTCGTTCAAGTTGTGGACCTAGAGGGCCCTTTCTTAAAGTTGCACATAAGGAGGCCCTTTTTGGGATATAAATCTGTAGCCTTTTTTAAAAAAGTTCATGATGGCAAGCATAATTCATCCAAATGCAGTTTCCTTATAGTTGAAGGTTCCTTTTCGATCTACAAATGTATTGCATATTAGAACGCATCTTCTCATTCAGTGGACTCCTAATCCATGAAGGTTGTTGGATTTACGAGGTGTTAGTGGGATTCAAACCCACGCGTAGTAAGAGAAGCGCAAAATGTAACAGATTTGAAGTTGTCGAAAGCTAAATTTCTTGTTCTTGAGATGTATTTTACTTAGATCCTAAAAGACTCCAGATGTCACATCCTGTCTGGCCTGCAGTCATGAAGTCCTACACAGCAGTGACTTATGAACGATATCAGGGAAGCTGCATACCTTGACAGAGGCAAGTACCAGGATAGAAAAATATCTATTACTTAACTTTCAACGAACAGTTTGTAAAAATTTGGTTAACAAGAAATTACGCTCGGATGTAAACTGTGAGCGCAGAAATTCTAAACGTTTTTATTCGAATCAAATGGACTAAGTATTTGCTAAAAATGCAAAAATCGGGGAGACACTTATTGCAAATGGAAAAGATTGGCAATGATCGTCATCGGAGCCCTGAGTATTGGCTGGGGTTTTGCAAACCATTTTCGGTTGAAAGTGCATGTAAAAGATGTAAATGAATTTGAAAAATAAAGAATTTCCATATATTTGTTCGTCATTTTTCCTTACCTATGTAGATCGTTGACGTTTAACCCTTTAAGCCCTAAGAGTGATCAGCATCAAATTTCTCCTTGTAATATCAATACTTTGCGAAACAGAGTGGTCATGGGAATTTCGGACGATCAGACGGGATGAATTTGCTTGATATTTAATCAACTTCTCCCCACTACCTCTGTTGGAAATGAACGTACAGGGGCAACAAATGAGAATTCAAATTTTTATCTTAGGGTTCATTAACCCTTTAAGCCCTAACAGTGTTCAGCATCAAATTTCTCCTTGTAATATCAATGCTTTGTAAAACAGAGCTGTGGTCATGAGAATTACGGACATGATCAGACGAGATGAATTTGCTTGATATTTAATCAACTTCTCCCCACTACCTCTGTAGGAAATGAATAGGGAAAGCAAATGAGAATTCAAATTTTGATCTTATGGTTTAAAGGGTTAATTGAGCCATTTCACTAATAGTACCTCACTTTTTTTTTCAATTTCAGATCTCAGACCAGCTCTACAGGCAGACCTGCAAACTAACCCATCAAACTAGTCCATCAAATCTGACCCCAGATCACACCACCACATCTGAATATCACAACAGACCATCGTCAGACCCACCAAATCAGACCATCAGAACAGACCACCACTGTCAAACCAGACAACCAGATCAGATCAGATCACCCCACCAGACCACAGACCACAATCCTTGACTCTTCAGCTTCCAAGCAGCACAGCATAACCAACATTCTGAAATGGTACAGGTCAGGTGCATTCATTATGGGTTGGGTCAAGGGGGGTATATAGAGCTCTGGATGAACCTTGCAAAGCATACTTTCCACACACGTTGGGCCTCAAGTTTCCGGAATTTTTTTCGGCTTAACTTAGCTGTAGTTAGATTAGCCAGCGGGTTCCCTGGGCTGGTAAGGGCCTCCCCTTCCCTTTTTCATAAGCTGGGTTCCTTTGCAGGTGTTTGGTCAGCAGTAAGTTCGGCTTTTAGGAATAGGTTAGGTTTTTCGGATTCGGCTTCGATTCAAGGAAACGGTTCGGCTGCATCTTCTTGCACATTTTCCAGATGGACTTCGCCACCTCCGCCTTTGTCGTCGTCGTCGTCTTCACTACGGTCTCCCGCTTAGTTGCGCAAAATTTGACTGACCTATCACACTTCACTTGACAGTCTATGCGCTGGGCAAGTGAAGCTTTAATCCGCAAGGTTCAACCAGACAGTGATTATAATAAGACATAACTTAGTAAACTAGAGACCTCAGGTCATTCAGCTACAGTGAGAGGACCTCATTTGGTCACTGCTTACAAGCTTAGTGGTCTCTCTGGTTACAGGTAGATAGTTAGAATAGCCTCGCAAATTCGGGTCTGCTCCTACAAATCTGGTTTTTGTTGTTTAAACAGTACGTGTGTGAAGTGAAATTTTTCATTGATGCGCATTTGCAGACTTGGAACTTGTGATGGTAGATCAGTTAACAGGTTTAGTCGCACAACAAAGGTTATCTGCGACCAGGCGTTTCTTCCCGCCAAGACTGGGTCAACACCTTGTTGCAGGTTGCCAGGGCATTATGGGACAGTCCACACACCACAGGCTAGATCGTTTACAAATCGTAAGCGTAGGAAGTCTTCGAGACCAATCTACGACGCAGTTTCATCGTTGGAGGAACACTAACAAGCCAATAAGCTATTTTAAAAAGCCTGCGAAGTAATCACGAGAATGCTATAGTGCCGAATATTTCGGGGACACACATGTGGAGGCCCACCATACCTTGATATGCGTGTCCCTGAATTGCATTCAGGTGAAAACCTCGCTGGTTATAGATAGTCCTTCAGTAATTAAGTAGCAGGGGAGGATACTCTAGTTATGGCATCGTTGACACTAAGACGATCTGATTTGTCTTCCTGTTAATTTTGCCTGGCTGGAGGGTTTTCTTCTTAGGAAGTCCTGCATTGCACTATGCAGGCACAGATCGTCTACAAATGGTAGGCGTACGTAGTCTTCACGTCGACCGTTCGTGGTTATTGGTTTCTTCGTACTCCAGAGGTCTTCAACATTTTTCTTCCTCCAAAATCTCTTGAAGTACGTCATGACTGGGACCAAATCCTATGCAGCACATTGTTTCTTCAACGTTTTTCTGAATCTTGTAACAAAATATTTGAAATGTGAATAAAATCTATTTCATTATATTGTTTGATATTGTGTTGTGCGTCCGGCGCTAAATCAAGGGAAGAGACCGGCCGAAAAAAGAAGAACAAAGAACTTTGAGAGCCATAGAAAGATAGTCCACTAGCCCAGTTAATTAAGTAGGTCAGATACCTTCCTTTGCAGCCATGAACGGAGAACAAGAATCACGTCCGATCAAACCGGACAATAATGATGATGATGATGATGGTGATGATGATGATCGTTTATACTAAGACGTGATTCTGTTTCTATGGAAATAGAAGCCGATGACATCGTAGTGTAAACGACTTCATCATTAGGAAGGCAAGGTTTAGCCAGAGGAGAAAGCATAGAGTGATAACTTTTAAGTGCTGTCTTGACTAACCTTGAATTTCCATAACTAAGACCCTACACTTCCCCTCTCCTTCCCTGTGGGAACGAATTTGAAAAATTTGAAACGAATCAAACAAGCGTTTCTTGAAATTAGGAAATGGGAAAGGCAATTTCAAAAACTGCTTCGCACAGAAGTGAAATTTCATCGTATCTCGGTTCCAATGTTCCGCAATTGTTGGTCTTGTCGCATAGTACAATGTTAGTTGAGACAGCAAATATATTTTATTAATAATGTTAATTTTAATTGGCTGGCCGGACTTCATCTTTGGAGCAACTCTAAGTCATCTACAACAACAACAACGTCAACAACAACAACAACTTCATGAATTATACCTATCAACGCCTTGGTCTATTGGATTGTTGGTCCCAGTATCCTTGGTCCTTTGTTGGAGGAACATGACGACAGAGTACAGCAGCCCATATAAGGTAGGGCTGATTGATGTTGGTACAAAGTTTGCACAAAGCAAACTCGCCTGGTCTGGAATAGTGTACGGCAAATTGAATTTCAGCGGCACCGTTGCTCTTGTAGAGAGGTCCGTAGGTCGTTGCTAATGCAAACATTGCACCACACCAATCAGCCCAAGTAATAATTCAGTGTGGCACAAGGTACGTGGAATTTGGTTCTTTGTTAGACGATTAGATTTTCGGCTCGGTCCATTCGGCTTTTTCGGTTTTCGATTCGACTTTCGATCTGATTCCGGATTCGGCGTAAAAAAATGTGAAGGCTTGGTATCGACAATGTTTCGATAGCAAGCCGCCAAATATCCCTGCGTACCGTCCGGGGGACCCTGGTGTGTTTCATTCGAGGTGTCAGTTTTTTAGGACACATGTCACACTCCTCGGTCTAGCGATCCCGGACGCGAAATTCTTTTAGGAGCGCATCCCATCTATATATCACTTGATTTCTGTAAACGGCTAACTCAATTCAATAAAAACACTTAACCTAAAGCGTTGTCTGTGTGATTTTTTTCTTTAATTAAGGTTTAGTTTATAGAGTAATAACTTATAAGTACTAATGACGATTTGATTTGCAGGTATCTCAAAAAATGCTTGTTGTAATGGCCTTAATAAAAATAAAACAAACAAACAAAACGCTGAGTTGTTAGTGTGATGTCTTTAAACACCACCACGCGCATTGACATTAAGTGTCATATCAGTGTGTTCTACTGTAAACACACAAATAACCAGTTTTTCATTTTAGGTACTAGTACGTCGAAAATCATATATTTTTCCGTTTTTTGACTCTACCTCTACTTTTTTCTTGACGGTTAATGGATCCGTTTTTGGGGCGCGCCCTCGCAAGATTGGACATGACTTTTTTTCGTACCTTTGTACTACTTTCTGGATGCGTTCTTGAAGAAACGCATGGCACCTTTGCACTACTTTCTGGATGCGTTCTTGAAGAAACGCATGACACTTACAACTTGGCAGTCGGAAGTGAAGCCGTGTTGAATGCAGAGCATAAACTGTTATATTAGGGTTACTGTAATTGAAAGCTGATGAAAAATAAAGTGTAACAAACAAAAGAAAAACTCATCAGCTTGTTTTTATTCTTTACACCAGCACTATTTAATCTAATAAATAAGTTTTATTGTGTTGTAACTAGGAGTTTCATTCCGCATAATAAACAATAAAGGTTGATTAAGACAAAACCTCTTCAACAGTGTATTTTTTGCTTAAAGCTATAATAATTTAAGTAAATTGACAAGTTTTATTTCAGGAACATCGGACGCCATCTTTTTTTCGCTCGAACGCAAGATCACCGCCACGAAGACGTCTTTTTGGGCGCGCCCTCTCAAGACCGAGCACGTCAAACTGATCGTTTGACGTATGCTCTCCAGAAGCTCGTCTTTGGAAGTATAGTACTTCTGGCTGCGTTCCTGAAGAAACGCATGGCGACACAGTGGTTACGACTAAAACGACTCCAAGTTCTTAAGGTAAGACAGAAATTTGTTTCTTCTTTTAGTTGCTTTAACGGTTAGATGATCTTTTTGTGTTTCAGATCTAGTGCGTTAACTAAATGTTTGTCAGCTCCTAAGAGGTAAGGACGAAGGAAACCGGCCGTGAAGTACACTAAATCTGATTTTGCTGATACATGCACTTTTCCTTCGGATAATACTAAAATTTATTCATACAGGCTTTAGTGGGATTCAAACCCACGATCTTTGTTTAGTTACTGGTTTGAATTTGCTTGATATTTAATCAACTTCTCCCCACTACCTCTGTAGGAAATGAATAGGGAAAGCAAATGAGAATTCAAATTTTGATCTTATGGTTTAAAGGGTTAATTGAGCCATTTCACTAATAGTACCTCACTTTTTTTTTCAATTTCAGATCTCAGACCAGCTCTACAGGCAGACCTGCAAACTAACCCATCAAACTAGTCCATCAAATCTGACCCCAGATCACACCACCACATCTGAATATCACAACAGACCATCGTCAGACCCACCAAATCAGACCATCAGAACAGACCACCACTGTCAAACCAGACAACCAGATCAGATCAGATCACCCCACCAGACCACAGACCACAATCCTTGACTCTTCAGCTTCCAAGCAGCACAGCATAACCAACATTCTGAAATGGTACAGGTCAGGTGCATTCATTATGGGTTGGGTCAAGGGGGGTATATAGAGCTCTGGATGAACCTTGCAAAGCATACTTTCCACACACGTTGGGCCTCAAGTTTCCGGAATTTTTTTCGGCTTAACTTAGCTGTAGTTAGATTAGCCAGCGGGTTCCCTGGGCTGGTAAGGGCCTCCCCTTCCCTTTTTCATAAGCTGGGTTCCTTTGCAGGTGTTTGGTCAGCAGTAAGTTCGGCTTTTAGGAATAGGTTAGGTTTTTCGGATTCGGCTTCGATTCAAGGAAACGGTTCGGCTGCATCTTCTTGCACATTTTCCAGATGGACTTCGCCACCTCCGCCTTTGTCGTCGTCGTCGTCTTCACTACGGTCTCCCGCTTAGTTGCGCAAAATTTGACTGACCTATCACACTTCACTTGACAGTCTATGCGCTGGGCAAGTGAAGCTTTAATCCGCAAGGTTCAACCAGACAGTGATTATAATAAGACATAACTTAGTAAACTAGAGACCTCAGGTCATTCAGCTACAGTGAGAGGACCTCATTTGGTCACTGCTTACAAGCTTAGTGGTCTCTCTGGTTACAGGTAGATAGTTAGAATAGCCTCGCAAATTCGGGTCTGCTCCTACAAATCTGGTTTTTGTTGTTTAAACAGTACGTGTGTGAAGTGAAATTTTTCATTGATGCGCATTTGCAGACTTGGAACTTGTGATGGTAGATCAGTTAACAGGTTTAGTCGCACAACAAAGGTTATCTGCGACCAGGCGTTTCTTCCCGCCAAGACTGGGTCAACACCTTGTTGCAGGTTGCCAGGGCATTATGGGACAGTCCACACACCACAGGCTAGATCGTTTACAAATCGTAAGCGTAGGAAGTCTTCGAGACCAATCTACGACGCAGTTTCATCGTTGGAGGAACACTAACAAGCCAATAAGCTATTTTAAAAAGCCTGCGAAGTAATCACGAGAATGCTATAGTGCCGAATATTTCGGGGACACACATGTGGAGGCCCACCATACCTTGATATGCGTGTCCCTGAATTGCATTCAGGTGAAAACCTCGCTGGTTATAGATAGTCCTTCAGTAATTAAGTAGCAGGGGAGGATACTCTAGTTATGGCATCGTTGACACTAAGACGATCTGATTTGTCTTCCTGTTAATTTTGCCTGGCTGGAGGGTTTTCTTCTTAGGAAGTCCTGCATTGCACTATGCAGGCACAGATCGTCTACAAATGGTAGGCGTACGTAGTCTTCACGTCGACCGTTCGTGGTTATTGGTTTCTTCGTACTCCAGAGGTCTTCAACATTTTTCTACCTCCAAAATCTCTTGAAGTACGTCATGACTGGAACCAAATCCTATGCAGCACATTGTTTCTTCAACGTTTTTCTGAATCTTGTAACAAAATATTTGAAATGTGAATAAAATCTATTTCATTATATTGTTTGATATTGTGTTGTGCGTCCGGCGCTAAATCAAGGGAAGAGACCGGCCGAAGAAAGAAGAACAAAGAACTTTGAGAGCCATAGAAAGATAGTCCACTAGCCCAGTTAATTAAGTAGGTCAGATACCTTCCTTTGCAGCCATGAACGGAGAACAAGAATCACGTCCGATCAAACCGGACAATTATGATGATGATGATGATGGTGATGATGATGATCGTTTATACTACGACGTGATTCTGTTTCTATGGAAATAGAAGCCGATGACATCGTAGTGTAAACGACTTCATCATTAGGAAGGCAAGGTTTAGCCAGAGGAGAAGGCATAGAGTGATAACTTTTAAGTGCTGTCTTGACTAACGTTGAATTTCCATAACTAAGACCCTACATTTCCCCTCTCCTTCCCTGTGGGAACGAATTTGAAAAATTTGAAACGAATCAAACAAGCGTTTCTTGAAATTAGGAAATGGGAAAGGCAATTTCAAAAACTGCTTCGCACAGAAGTGAAATTTCATCGTATCTCGGTTCCAATGTTCCGCAATGGTTGGTCTTGTCGCATAGTACAATGTTAGTTGAGACAGCAAATATATTTTATTAATAATGTTAATTTTAATTGGCTGGCCGGACTTCATCTTTGGAGCAACTCTAATTCATCTACAACAACAACAACAACTTCATGAATTATACCTATCAACGCCTTGGTCTATTGGATTGTTGGTCCCAGTATCCTTGGTCCTTTGTTGGAGGAACATGACGACAGAGTACAGCAGCCCATATAAGGTAGGGCTGATTGATGTTGGTACAAAGTTTGCACAAAGCAAACTCGCCTGGTCTGGAATAGTGTACGGCAAATTGAATTTCAGCGGCACCGTTGCTCTTGTAGAGAGGTCCGTAGGTCGTTGCTAATGCAAACATTGCACCACACCAATCAGCCCAAGTAATAATTCAGTGTGGCACAAGGTACGTGGAATTTGGTTCTTTGTTAGACGATTAGATTTTCGGCTCGGTCCATTCGGCTTTTTCGGTTTTCGATTCGACTTTCGATCTGATTCCGGATTCGGCGTAAAAAAATGTGAAGGCTTGGTATCGACAATGTTTCGATAGCAAGCCGCCAAATATCCCTGCGTACCGTCCGGGGGACCCTGGTGTGTTTCATTCGAGGTGTCAGTTTTTTAGGACACATGTCACACTCCTCGGTCTAGCGATCCCGGACGCGAAATTCTTTTAGGAGCGCATCCCATCTATATATCACTTGATTTCTGTAAACGGCTAACTCAATTCAATAAAAACACTTAACCTAAAGCGTTGTCTGTGTGATTTTTTTCTTTAATTAAGGTTTAGTTTATAGAGTAATAACTTATAAGTACTAATGACGATTTGATTTGCAGGTATCTCAAAAAATGCTTGTTGTAATGGCCTTAATAAAAATAAAACAAACAAACAAAACGCTGAGTTGTTAGTGTGATGTCTTTAAACACCACCACGCGCATTGACATTAAGTGTCATATCAATGTGTTCTACTGTAAACACACAAATAACCAGTTTTTCATTTTAGGTACTAGTACGTCAAAAAATCATATATTTTTCCGTTTTTTGACTCTACCTCTACTTTTTTCTTGACGGTTAATGGATCCGTTTTTGGGGCGCGCCCTCGCAAGATTGGACATGACTTTTTTTCGTACCTTTGTACTACTTTCTGGATGCGTTCTTGAAGAAACGCATGGCACCTTTGCACTACTTTCTGGATGCGTTCTTGAAGAAACGCATGACACTTACAACTTGGCAGTCGGAAGTGAAGCCGTGTTGAATGCAGAGCATAAACTGTTATATTAGGGTTACTGTAATTGAAAGCTGATGAAAAATAAAGTGTAACAAACAAAAGAAAAACTCATCAGCTTGTTTTTATTCTTTACACCAGCACTATTTAATCTAATAAATAAGTTTTATTGTGTCGTAACTAGGAGTTTCATTCCGCATAATAAACAATAAAGGTTGATTAAGACAAAACCTCTTCAACAGTGTATTTTTTCCTTAAAGCTATAATAATTTAAGTAAATTGACAAGTTTTATTTCAGGAACATCGACGCCATCTTTTTTTCGCTCGAACGCAAGATCACCGCCACGAAGACGTCTTTTTGGGCGCGCCCTCTCAAGACCGAGCACGTCAAACTGATCGTTTGACGTATGCTCTCCAGAAGCTCGTCTTTGGAAGTATAGTACTTCTGGCTGCGTTCCTGAAGAAACGCATGGCGACACAGTGGTTACGACTAAAACGACTCCAAGTTCTTAAGGTAAGACAGAAATTTGTTTCTTCTTTTAGTTGCTTTAACGGTTAGATGATCTTTTTGTGTTTCAGATCTAGTGCGTTACGTTAACTAAATGTTTGTCAGCTCCTAAGAGGTAAGGACGAAGGAAACCGGCCGTGAAGTACACTAAATCTGATTTTGCTGATACATGCACTTTTCCTTCGGATAATACTAAAATTTATTCATACAGGCTTTAGTGGGATTCAAACCCACGATCTTTGTTTAGTTACTGGTGGTCATAATCGACCAAAGAGAGCAGTTTTCAAGACGTTTGGTTTCAAATGATCCAATGAATCTGTTTTATGACAGCTAACAGGTGGAAATTGATTGGGTGTTACCAGCAGACAATTTCAAGGCTTTCTCATGGAAATACAGTTTGTAATTGGTTACCAACCGCTCGACAAAGACAGTGTTTCGATATTACTTACTTTGATTTTAAAGAATTTTTTCATTTAGGTCAGAGAAGTCCAACCGTGTTATGGCAGTTCCGAACTCCCATCAGCTGCATGTAAACTGTAAGTACCACAGCAAATGAAAGTCTTCGCCAGCAAGAGGAAAAAATTCTCAACAAAGAATGCGTGGTTTCGTTGAAGGAAAGAGTTTTAAAGTCAACTGTTCTACTTACTCGCCAAAAGTCGTACCTTTATAGGTAAACTCACCTGGCATCTGTTCCAGTGAGATTCCAACCCGTGAATATTGCTTCATTAGTAAGCAAATCAATATGCAATATTACTGGTATTCAAACACCAGGACTTCTCAGCCTCGTCCCTAGGGTGAGGGCGCCTGAGAAAAAACTGTAGTATGAAACTGATTTTCAACTGGCATCGTGCAACTTTTGCTTTAATAATCTGTTTTAAGAAGCTCTTGATTTAGGTCTGTGTCACTCCAGAGGCTGTCTCCAATCCACAGTCACTAAAACCACCTATTTACCAGCCCAATGAAATAGCAGAGCACGTGACCCTACAAGATCTAAGGTAAGAACCAGAAAGGTCAAAATGCTCACCAAAAATAAGGTACAAAAAAGAAATTATACAAACGCGTTCAAAAAGTATGACCAGGAAGAAAACTGATAACAAGAACAGCTCATGGCCTTTGCTCAAGTTTTGGATCCCTCACTAAAAGATGTACAGAATGAGGCTCTTTCGGAATTAGGACCTGTGACCTTCGTTTAGCGGTTCATGATATAACGCATATTTCGTCAAACAACGAGAACTAAATTGCGCAGGGACATATTCTAGCTTTCAGTGTCATCCAAATGCATTTTCGTTAGTTAAAGGTCCTTTCCTTCGATGGACTTCTAATCCATTTCCTACTAAGAAATTGTCGAAAGCTAAATTTCTTGTTGCTTAGATGTATTTTATTTAGATCATAAAAGACTCCAGATTTGGCACCCTGTCTTGATGTGGTTTGCATAAATGAATTCCTAGCCAGCACTGACTTGTTAGCGATATGAGGGAACCTGCTTAACTCGGCAAAGGTAAGTACAAGAATAGAGAAAAAGCTAATAGTCATCTTTCAGCACGTATTTTGTAATAAAATTAGCTGAAAAGAAATTGGGCTGAGATTGAAACTGTGCTTCGAAAATTCTTAAATTTTGTCTCGAATTAACTGAACTAAGCATTTATGGACACTGAAAAAATCTAGGAGCAGAAAGGGGGGTAGCCCCACCTTTATTCTGTCAAAACTTTCAGTGAATTTGCTTGTGGTCTTGTTACTTTTTTTTTCTAAAAACATGTAGGTACCTATCTGGTGAGACAACGTCATGAGCAGAGGAGGACTGAGAGTGACTGACACCTAGCGCCTATTACATCAATTATGATGATTAATTATCTTATTGATGGGGATGATGACCTGATGACCTGATGTACCTGACCTTTTCAGGTGAAACGTGCATTGGCACTTAACTAGAAATGTGTGTATCACAGACCTCAAGAGGCTTGGGGAAGGGTAGAGTGTAATATAATTGTCCAGCTCAAAATGACCTTATAATAGTATAACCGCAGCAAAGGCAATGGGTCTTGAGTTTTGCCGATAGTTCGAATGGTCTTGACGTTCTTGTCGGAGGATTTTTAAAAGGTCAGTGGAGACAAAACTGAAAATAATGACATGATGGACTAATCTGAAGCACACAAAAAAAAAATGGCAAAAAAGGAAATATATGAAGAAAAATGGAACAAAAATGAACTTAAAATAAGAAATAAATAAAAAAGAAAATAAATTTTAAAAATAGTACAATAATAATACTCAATAAGCCATCGTTAAAAATAAATTAAAAATAAAGTCAAATAAATAATAAGAGAATACGAAAAACAATAGTAATGATTACGATAATGATAGTAAAAGAGAAAAGGAAAACTGAATTGCAACAAAAAAGACTTAATTGATTTTTTGAAAGCGAAACTGCAGGGACATTAAGGCAGTCTCCTTTCAAAAATCAGATCAGAAGAATTCTTTTATTTTTAAGGTCTTTTTAGTTGCTACTTTTAATGATTTTCCTTTTCTATTACTGTCATTATAATCATCATTACTATTATTATTATTATTATTATTATTATTATTATTGTCATTTTAAGTTCCTTTTTTTTACATTTTTCTGATGTATTACCTTTTTGTCTTTACTCTTTTGTCCATACGTCATTATTTTTAAGTTTTATCTCTATAATACTAAGTTTGAAACATTTGTATCAAATTTTCAACCGAGTCGATTTCCAAGTAAATAAGGACGGCTTGACCATCCGAATTATCTGATAAAGCCAAGTCCTTTTTGTCTCTGTTTTTTTTTTTTTCTTAATAAGTTAAGTACATGCTTTGATCCAATGAATGATAAACAAATGAAGGAAAACTCATTTTTAAAAACTTTGATAATAAGTTCAGTTGAACGTGTGGTCTTGATTTCTTGAGAGATATAGGAACAGTGAGCCTTGACAAGCTGGGCAACCTGATGAGGTATCGTGAGGTGAAGAGGCTAAACGTGGATGACAGAAACCTGTTACATGGATGATGATGATGATGCCGACAATGATGTTGACGATTGTGCTCGCGACGATGACGACGATGATGTTGACATTGATGACAATGCTGACGGCGATGCTGACGATGATGATGATGATGTTGATGCTGACAATGATGATGATGATGTTGATAAGGAATATGACGTCGCTGATGATTATGATGATGACCACGATCATTCTGACGATGATGACGATATAGACGACGATGATGAATATAACAACGATGCGAAAAATGATGATGATGATGACGTTTTTAAGAAATGTTTTCTCTGATGAAGAAACTCGGAAGCTCAGTAATTGGCCATGGCGACGTTGAAATTGGTGAGTACAGAACAGTAATCTTTCTTCTCTCACTCGAATATCAACGAGGGAGGCGCGTGGAATATTCCTTCCCGGCATACCGTAATAGTCTGTCTCCCGCTGCCGTTCCATGACCGGCAGAGATAAGAGAGTTGGCTGGGAACGAGCCATCTTTGATAGAGTAAACGCAAAGAGCTAAAAACTGCAACGGGAGGAGTGAGGGAAATCTACATGTAAGCTTTGATAATGTGTCCAGTTAAACTAGAGGTCTTTGCTCGTCAGAGTCATCAGCTTTCCCTGTTGTATTAAAACTGTGAATTGCAAAAGAGGGACAAAAAACGTGGTCCTAGCTGGCCTAAGACACCTTGGAATTCAATTAAGGACTGTGAAAAAGAGATTAGAATTGGAAGTGGGCATTGATTGCACTTACCTCTATGATAAAATTAAGGCTATAAGCTGTAAAATACACGACGAAAATATTCTGCTGCATAGCAAAATAAAGCGGGGAGATCCTTAATTAAAAACAAAACAATAAATTGTGTCTTCTTTTTTCGACCCAACAGCTTCACGGAAGAGATTGCTAGTGGAGTGTCCAGTGTTGGAGGATGAGTGCGAATGTACGCTTCTCAACTATTCTTTGTGCGGCACGAGAAACGAAGCAAGATCAAGTTTAAACCACGATAGATGGAGATAGACTTTATAATATTATATTAAGGCTCAAGTTTAATCAGACTGCATGCTCTTCGCACCACTCAAGCGTATTTTCGCCAGCACACAATGAAGAAAAAACGCATTCCACTTCTTTAGGGCTTAGTTAAATTCGACAAATTGTTCATCTCGTAAGAGTCTTATGATATATTTAAGTTCCTAAAACAAGCCATTTCTAAACAGCAGTGAACTTGGGCCCCAAGTTCTGAAGATGGAAGTCGTAACGGTTTTCTCGGACGATGAATCGATGATATAGGCGGTTTAGGAGTGAGTCCATGGGTGCATTGGGGAGGTGTGTGCTACATGAAATCTCTCCGATTTCAATAAAACTTGGCCAGTTTGAGGGTCTACCCAAAACCTAAGCAATAGACTAAGTAATGATGATGGGAGCCATGATGTAAAGGAAGAAAGATTTACAAATTGAAGACCTCTTTTGCGTGCAGTTGTAATCTTGAATTTTACAATTCGGCTGCGAAAATTAGAGCGTGACTTGGAACTTCTGAAATCTTCTTAACTAATGCCTCAAACGCTAATTTTATAGCTTAACATAAACTTAAACTGCAATAACCTTCTAATGCATGAAGATTTTTCAGAGGTTTCTGAGAAGCGCTTGTTGCCTGGATTTGAATCAACTGCAAAAAAGAAATAAAGCTGAATTAAGCGTCTATCCCGCGTATTGAAAGGCAGGGAGTCATATATTTTCAGCCCTTTACATTGGCTCAATAAATCTATTGCGAGCGAAAAGGGCTTTAATATCATTGCTTAAACACTTTGAAACAGCGACAGATATTCAAGTCGCGCTATGCTAGAGTTAGCCTCGCCAACGAAACTATACTTTAAGTTCATTTTTTCCCTCGTATTTATATACAGTAGAAGGCCTTAAAACCCCAAAGGCAGCACCATAGCACTGGTCGGGGGTACACGGTCCCCATTTTTGCCAAAATTGGTTTTTCGGGGTTTACGTGTCCGGCTGTGGTGTACGTATATTTAGTATACATTTATTTAAGCATTTCCTATTAATAAAGTATACTTGTGTTTGTTGAGAGTTGAAATGCGTGTTTGTTTCTTGGTTGTCTTCATATAAAGTTAACTTCCAAAGGTAAGCCCCCCCCCCCCC